TGTGCAAGTAATTACGTAAAGGTCTTAGAGACTGGAGTTATCACTTAAAGACGCCGGGCATTGCTAATGAGTTGACTGAGAATTGATCTCTCTGTAATTTAGTTATTTATATGCAGTTCCTGTTTTCCATGCTCAGCTATAGGTCAAGCCCACTTTGAACTGCTCAGAGACCCCCAAGTTTGTCAAGCAAAGTCCCAAAGCCGTGGCACAATGATATTTTAGAAAGGTAAATATTGTCCTGAGGGGCTTTAAAAAGGAGGCAAAGCTGTTTGCTTTCTAGCTGGTTCTTTAAACCGGACAACTGCTTCCTGTTACTAAGGGGTCTCTCAGCAACGTGACTTTGCTTCTGTTAAACAGAAAAGAGCTTCAGGAAAAATGTCAGTACCACCTTCCAGGTATTTCCATATCCCAGCGAGATGGGAAGGAACAGCCTTGGGTTTCTGAATAGCAGGCTGCTTGCATTATTCTGCAAAAGATGTAGGATGGGGTATAATGGATCCTGGAAACAATATAAACACTCAGGCTGCTAAACATTACCCTCAGGGCTAGGTCTGTGCCAAATGGTTGTGAGCGATGTTCAAAAAACCTGTTGGCTCTCCTGTATACCCATGTCCGGGCATATATCACACATCACTGGTGTGTGTCAGCACCTGTCTGTAGGCTCCGGTGTGGACTTGCTGCTGAGAAGTTTGTGTGGATGGGCTCTCACCCTCACAAGGGCATCTCATGGGGAGCAATGGGTAATGCTCCACCCTGTAAAGCTATATTTTGGCTGCCTGAGCTGGCACCAGCTGGTTCTGTGCTCCCTGCCTTTCCATGAACCCTGCACAAATCCGAAGCTGGGTGCTCCTGAGGGTATACACCCGCTCTGCCCCTGTCTGCAGACTTCAGCTGTGTGCTCGTGTGCTCTTAGCAGACAGAGCAGAAGTGAATTTGAGCACACTTGGGCCCAGATAGCCAGAATCCCCCAGGAGAACAGCTGAGTTGCGGTTTTCCAGCCCATTATAGCCAGGAAACCTGTGATGCTCATGCCTAAATGTGACTTTTGAGGAGCTGTGTTACAGACAAGCCAAGGCCAAAATGAAGCCAGCCGTGCAGGTGGACAGCCTGGAAATAAAAGGGCTGAGCATGCTTCAGGTGCTTCTTCACCTGACAAGGCAGATGTCTGTGGAGGGCTTTGTTCCTCCGCTCAGGCTGGTGTTACTGAAAATACTGGCACTTATGGGTGAGGAGCCGTTTGTAGATAGCTGAGGATGTAAGAGACTGGCTAAGGGTGCGAAATTTGCTTTGTAAACAGTGATGACTTGCAAGAACGGGGCATTGCTGTGAGCTGGCAGCTGCTGAAAACAGGGCTGAAATTACCCTCCTCTAACTCACTTTCATAGCTGCTGTGTTGTTTTATGACTCACTCGTGCAGATGAACCATTTCAAAACAGTCTTGCTTGGCTTACAGCTTCCTCTATTTTTTTTTTTTTCTTTCTTTCTTTCAGAATACTTTGGGCTTGTAGCCAAGTATTCTGCATAGACCATTGTCCTCTCTCGTGCCTCCTTACTTGTGGCTGAGAGACTGCAGGTCCCTGGGGCAGCTGAGTCCCCCAGCCTAGCAAGTCATGAGCTTTCTTTGGTTTTAACGTCTACAGTCTTTTTGTAAGGAGTTAAATTGGGCTCTGCCACACTCCTGTTCTCTTGGTCACCTTATTGCAATCCCATGTCTGCCAACACCCTTGGGGCAGCAGGGGAAGGGTGCTGTGAAGGTGGCACGAAGCTTGCTACCTGGGCAGGGCTCTGCTCATGACAGCAGCAGGAATCTCACACCAAGACCTCTTGTGGCTTCTGGATGCTGCCACGGAGCACCTCTGTTAATTAGCTGTCATCTTTTAGGGTGTCTTTTGCCCCAGGAGCACTTCAGGCACTTGGGATGGTCACAGACCATTTCTACCATCCTGTCTCCTCCCTAGATAGATTTGAGGGTTGACTATAGGGCATGTCAGCTTGGTCCTGCTGCTGAAAAGAGAGGGAGACTCCTGAAGGCTGGAGGAAATCCACAGGAGAACCTTACACAGGTATCTCTCTTTCTCTCCTCACCAGTCCTCGATAGCTGGGACCTCACCTAAAGCTCTGTTTCAAGGGGGCAGTCCCCAAACAGGTGGCACCATCTCTTCAAGGAAAACCTGCCCAACCTTTGAACCTTAACATACCTCTCTTCCTCTTTGCACCCAGCAGGCTCCAGAAGTCTCCCTTGCATCTCCCCTCTTCAATCCAAGCCCTGGGTCCTGCACCTGGGGCGCAATAACCCCAAGCAGAACTACAGGCTGGGAGAGGAATGGTTGGAGAGCTGCCAGGCAGAGAAGGACCTGGGAGTGATGGTGGACAGTCGGCTGAATATGAGCCAGCAGTGTGCTCAGGTGGCCAAGAAGGCCAACGGCATCCTGGCTTGTATCAGAAACACTGTGACCAGCAGGGCTAGGGAGGTGATCGTCCCCCTGTACTCGGCTCTGGTGAGGCCGCACCTCGAGTACTGTGTTCAGTTTTGGGCCCCTCGCTACAAGAAGGACATCGAGGTGCTTGAGCGGGTCCAAAGAAGGGCGACGAAGCTGGTGAGGGGCCTGGAGAGCAAGTCCTATGAGGAGCGGCTGAAGGAGCTGGGCTTGTTCAGCCTAGAGAAGAGGAGGCTCAGGGGTGACCTTATTGCTCTGTATAAGTACATTAAAGGAGGCTGTAGAGAGGGGGGGGTTGGCCTGTTCTCCCATGTGCCTGGTGACAGGACGAGGGGGAATGGGCTAAAGTTATGCCAGGGGAGTTTTAGGTTAGATGTTAGGAAGAATTTCTTTACTGAAAGGGTTGTGAGGCACTGGAACGGGCTGCCCAGGGAGGTGGTGGAGTCACCATCCCTGGAAGTCTTCAAAAGACGTTTAGATGTAGAGCTTAGGGATATGGTTTAGTGGGGACTGTTAGTGTTAGGTTAGAGGTTGGACTCGATGATCTTGAGGTCTCTTCCAACCTAGAAATTCTGTGATTCTGTGATTCTGTGATTCTGTTCTCCATCCCCAGCAGCATCCCCAGTTGCTTCAGTCGGAGCTTTGTGGGGAGGCTGCTGTGCAGGGAGGAAGGCAGCCTTCGCCATCTAGTGAGCATCACACACCATCACCGGCAGCTGCGCCTGAAGGAAGGGCTGATCCATTTCCCCCACGAAAACCCCTTTTTTTCTCACCTCTGAAAGAACACGCTAACACGCCATGCTGAAATCTATACAGTACTCTCCTACCCACCGTCATTAACATCTTGCTGACAAGCTTGTATATACAGCAGATTGATCTTACCCAGAATTTAAGCACTTAATGTCCTGGAAGGACCACTGCTGCTAAAGATGTTTTTTCCCCTGCTCTGCTTGGGATGGCAGGCAGAGCCCTGGCAGCACCAAGGGAACGGGGCTGTGGATCTTTGTGACATGGTAGTTTAGCAAATAATGGAATATGAAAGAAGCAGGTGGTCTGTGGCTGTATTGGGTATGGAAACAAAGATTTTTTTAATTATTATATATATATATATATATCTTTTTTTTTTTTTTTTTTTTTTTTTTTTTTTTCTGGGATGATCACACATATATAGGGTCCAAATCCCTGTCACAGTTTAAGAAGTATCTGATAAATGAATGCTTCTTTGGAGGGTTTCTAAAGGTTACCTGACATCTGCCGAGAGACACTAATGGGCAGGAAACAGGGCAGGAGTAGGGGGCTATTGATAGACCCGTTCCTGCCTTCCTGTCTGGTTTTCTACTGCATCTCCCCTATTTTTAGCCTGGTTTCCAAAGGAAACAGGGGGTTGCGTGATTGCTCTGCCCACATCTGTCTATCAGTCTGCCGAATCACGCAGGCAGGTTTCAGCCAGGTTTGTGCATGGAGCAGACTTCTATCAGACTCCTTCATGTCCCCTAGAAATAAATAGCCAGGGGAGAGGGAAGGACCCCAGCTCGGTGCCCTGGCTGAAGGGAGGGTTGCTGCGTGAGCCCAGCACTTTATCAAGTCCTGGTGAAGCCACACACAAGTGGATTTCAGGAAATGGGGTTTCATAAATTCATCTGTAAAGTATTATCATGGCTAATTAGTGTACTAAATTTAATACCTAAAATGTTTGGTATGACATCATATTATTAATTTAGCTGTGACAGCATTTTAACAGCACCAGGTTAGGGAAGAAATCTATTGTGCCAGGTACAAATGTGTAACCTGCAGATGATCCCAGCCCCTCCAAATGCTCTCCAGGCCCATTTGATGCCTGATTACCCAGATTTTGCTGTGGCAGCCAAGGAGATGATTCATGCCGGGGTCTGCACCAGCTCAGTGCCTGTGCCCTGAGGCCCTGCTCCTGGGGCAGGGTGGGCAGCTTGGTGTCTCTTCAGACACCACAAGTCCCAGCCACTGCACTGGCTTATGATGCTGTCAAATTCCAGAGCTGGAAACTATTTTAAGAGACTTATTTTAGGAAAATAGGGAGAGATTTTCTTTGTTGTTAAATCTGAGGGACATTGTGAATTAGAGCTTTGAGAAGCTCAGTTCATTGGGGGGGTGATGATGTGAGACTGATCCATCCATCTGGATCCCTGTGTCTCTGAGCCCCTTCAGAATGAGCTGTTGCAACGCAGAAGTCATATGTTGGGCTTAACCCTCCATCTGCTGTAAAACATCTTTTAAGTGTGTTGCTGTGACCCCTTCCTGCATTTATCTTGTGCATTTCAGGGATCAGGGGAGAGGTCAAGGGTTATCTTGAAGGTTAGGAGATGTGCCCACCACCAAGAGGCATTCCTGAACAGTGTCAATATTTGGTCTTACACAGAAAATATGAGCAGGAGATAAGAGGGTGCTGAGACACATCCGCTGGGAAGGGAGGTGCTGGGCATCCAGTGAGGAGGATGCGGTGGGGTCACTGGGGCAGAGGATTGCCCATAGTCCATGTCACAATGGTGGCACCACTCTGCAGCTCGCCCATGTTTCTCTTTCCAGGTCAGATGCAGGTGGAGAAGCCTCATCACGCCTTAAAGGAAGCAATAAGCAGCTCGGCCAAGGTCAAAGAACACAACCTTGTTCAAACCTAGAGTCCTGAACCTCAAACTCAAGTGCAACCCACTGCATCCCACACTACAAATGAGGAGCTCATGTATTCATCTGAAAAGTGTAGTATTTTCTGGAGTGCAGCGAGGCAGGTGGTTGCCCATGATCCCCGCAGAGCAGAGGTATGTGATGGCTTGATGCCTAGTGGGTGCTGTATTTAATAGGCACTATGGGATGAGGGCTCAGTCCCCATGATATGAACAATCTCATGACTGTCGTGCTGGGAGCTGGAGGAGAGCTCAGAGGCCAGTAGAGCATAGCATGCCAGGGGCTCCTGCAGAAGGGAGCATTAATACAGGGTTAAAATCCTGATAAATTTTAACTCAAGGGGAAAAATATCACTTGACTCTTCCCTTACCCCCAGCAGACTCAGCCTGATGCCTATTAAATACCTATTCTGTAATTGCAGTATATGTTGCCGACATTAAATGCCTTCTGTTATCTGATTTACATGATTGAGCCATTCATTCTTCCCTTTTCCACCTATTCCCTTGCGCTCCAGAGCACCAGTAAATAGCCTGCAAGCCTCACTGGAGGGATGGCTGCAGCCCATAGCAAAACAGCCCCGTGTCTGTAAGAGGCCTGAACGTGCTCAGTGGCCTGCAGTGAAACCTGGGCCTGAGGAGCCCAGCTCCTCCTGAAGCCAAAGTTCAACGTCATGGAAAACTTTGCTGAGGTGTGCTGACAAAGGAATCCTGTCCCCGCACCTTGGCTGTGCCTCAGGAGGCACGGAGGTCCGATGGGCAGTGGCACAGTCTCTCGCACAAAGCAGCAAGGGGGCTGGAAAGCTCCTTTTACAGTCCAAACGGATGTTTCCTCAGGCTCATAAAATACACAGTTTAAGTAGTAGCTATATTTCTGAGGCTGGTCCCACACCTGCAACAACGTTGTAAATGGCGCTGGGATATATGGCTTTAAGACTCCTTGTAAAACGCAAGATCAACACAAGATTTACACAGTTTTATGGAATTGTTTTATAAGCTATTTTGACAATGAATCCTGCTATCAAAATCACCTCTGGTGCTAATCACGGAGGAAGCATTTAGCAGGAACCAACAAAGATTAGTTTAAACCCCTTTCCTACCGAGCTGGGGGCTGTGCAGTGCATCTCCCAAAGCCTGGGGCATGGCTCACACAGCAGCACGTAGTGGGGCAGTGGGAACGGACTTCAAATTGGGGGTGGACACATTTTTGGGTGCCTCTCCGTGCTCTGGTGGGGATGAGGACTGAACAAGGACTGCAGGAGGTGAAGCTAAGAGCTCCCCTTCCTCCCATCCTCCCCAGACAGGGATGGAGCTGTGCCTCCAGCAGGTCCTAACAGCCCCAGGGGACACACCTGGGGCATGGCAAACCAGTGGTGGGACCTGAGCACTGCATCCCCCAGCACCCAGCCCTCTGTGGTCCTTCTTGCCCACCGCTGGGTTACACACGAGAGGAAGGACTCCAGTGAGAGGATGAACCAGCTTGAAAGCCCAAATCAGCACTGTTGCCTTGCATGGCCACAGACTTTGCCCCATGCCAAGTGTTGGACATGCCGAGGGGACATTTGTGGGTCAGGCTGGCCAGATGTGCCTGGCAAGGAAGCCACGAGCAGTGAGGCTATCATTACACAGCTGCCACAAGCCACAGCACAACCAGAGCCTCACCACTCCCAGCCGAGGGGTTAGCACATCTCCTGGCTGCTCCGGGCAGCTCTCAGATTCCTTCCTCTGAGACACTCACCAGGAGGAAGGCTCGGAGGAATCGCCTCCTCCTCCTCCTGTTTGAACGTGGCTCCCATGGGTTCCCCGGGTGGCTCTGAGTCCTGAGCATGAGGACGGTGAGCAGCTGCTGCCTTTCTGGCTTCTCCCAGTCTCAGGATTTTGCAGCCATCCCTCACCGAGCTGTTTCTCTCCTACATACACAGAAGTCCCAGCTAAATAAACAGGAACATAATATGTGCCTGTCTCCAATTTTTTCATTATCTGAAGACACCTGGAGAGAATGGCGGGGTGCTGAATTATGTGCACGGTGTGTGGTTTGGCATCCTCTGCTCTCTTTGGCCCACTGTCACCAGTTACACTCAGGCCTTTCTTGTCCCCTTTGCACACAAGCACTGTTGGATGCACAAAATAACTTCTTTGCAGTACGGGATATGGCCACGAGATGTCTCTTCAAGCCGTCCGTGACTCCAGCCCGGTGAACTGGGCCCACGCTGGCTCGCAAGCTCTGCAGAAGCTCCTGGGGCCAAAATCTGGCACCAGCCCTGGTGAGCATCCCCTGCTGTAGTAAAGGGGATTGGAGAGCAAAGCTGCATCTGCAAGCAGAGGTGGCACCTTTTATCTAGACCTGCAGGTATAGGTGGGAAAGGATAAAAAACACCAACCCAAACAGATAGCTTTTCAAACACACAAGAGCTTTCTCACTCCAAAAATACAAGCAACTGCCTTCAGACTAAATCTCAGCTGAGAACAATCACTCTGAGTCTATCTTGGTTTTGTCAGGTGTTCAGTCTGGGGAAAAAAATGCTGATTGATACCTGCAGAGAAGAGGTATCGACATTAGCAAGGAGGGAAGTGGTAAGATTGTTGGTCAAAGAGAGAGAGAAAGAGACAGGAAAGGAGGGATGGATGGCTACTGGCTGTGAGGTAATGAAGAGTTTACTGCTGGTTTTAGGGAAATATAACTGCCATAAAAACTAATGAGTCCATGAGCACTAATATATGGCAAATTGGGGAATTTAAACTTGTCTTTTAATGGTATATTTTAGGATCCTCTTGCGGGTCTGAACCAGAAATCTAGAGGTGGTGTGATTATTTTGTGGAAAATGTCCTTCAATTGGCAACTGAGTGCATCAGATGGATGGTAATACCATGTAATGTTCAAATAATAGTTTCCAGCAGATTATCCTGAACATCATAAATTGGCAACAGCTTCTCAGCACAAAATTGACCCTGATCAAAAGCTTGCCTATTGTTCTGGACATTAGCAAATGACCATTTTCCAGCAGAGAAAGCGCTGGAGGTGATGCCAGGAAAAAATACTCATCATCCCCGTCTTTAGCTGGTTACCATCCCAACTCAGGACCAGAACCATTTCTGCAAATAAGTGGCAAAATGTTTGCTTGATCTGATAGCTGGAGCCTTTGTCGGGGGCTCACAATGTGTGGAAAAAAAAAAAGAGAGAGAGAAGAAAAGCTCGGGCTGCAATGCAGCTGGAATGAATGCTCTCCTTGCCTGCCGATCAGAGCAGATTACAGTTCACCTGCTGTGAACTAATCTCTCAGGGAGAGGGTCAGTTGTTTGGATAGTGTTGCTAATGGAAGGCAAAACCTTTCTGCACGCTCCCTCCTTCAGCGCTTGGTCTGTTTAGGAGATGAGTCAGTCCCGGGTTATTCATCAACTTGGTTAGGAGCAATCCGCCCAAGTTCACAAGCACCTCTGAAGCGCTGCACAATTACAGGAAATTATAGCTTGGAGCTGATGTTAAAACACAGCCATCTTCTCACTTTTCTGACAGCAATGTCAGCAAGGCCTGCATTATTTCATTGCATTGGAGAAGATACGTGGGAAGAATTTATTCCTCACCTTTGAGGGTCTCAGCCCCTCTGATGCTGAGGGATACCTTCCTGGGAAGGGGATGAGGCAGTGCTGTGGGGATCCTTCCCGATGACTGCACCAGGTCCCTTGGCTTGCTGCAGGGAGGCCAAATCAGAGCTGTGCCATGGCAGAAATCCTTTGCAGACTGCCTTGCCCATGGGGGTTCAGTGAGACATGTCTCAGCAGCAGGACTCAGCCCCACACCAGCAGACAGGATGGGGACAGTTCCCCTGTGGGTCTGCTGCACATCCATCCCCTTCCTCCAGGTCCCTCATCCTAGCCCTGAGCTCTTCACCCCAGAGGACAGCATGGGCTCGTACGCTGCTCATCTCATCCACAAAGACTCCCTGTGTCAGGGCAGGAGGCTCTCTCCACACACCATCAGTCCCCCCAGTACATCTCCAAGCCTTACTCCCGAACTCTCCGTAAGGACCAGATCCTCACATCCACCTTTGCTTTGATCTGGTGGAGATTCAGCAGTGGGATCTGCCCCATAGGTTTGTTGCTTTTTAGAAAGAATTCTCTGAGGGTAACATCTCTGCTCAGTGGGGAAGTATCATTTTGTCAGACTCATATTTATATGTCACTTGCACACACACGGAGTTTTGGAGCAAAGTCAATAAATGCACACTGAATGTCAGAGACTTGAATTTTTGTCTCAGAGACAGACCTGCTTAGGGAGTGATTTATTACCTCACTTTAACACACATAGTCCAAAGCAAATGGTAATTTAAAGTCTGCTGTGTGTTCTTTGTAACTGCGTAGTAGATGGTTTGTACTACCATAGTTTTAGTGAGAGGTGTTTGGAAATGGAGTAATTGTTCAATGATGACTTGTAGGAAATAGTTAAAATGACAAAAATGCTGAAAAGTAAAAAAAAAAAAAAAATTCCTACTGTTATTTTCAGCTTCATTTCATTTCATTTCATTTCATTTCATTTCATTCATTTCACTATTTTATTTTATTGTATTTATTTTTATTTTAGTTTAGTTATTTTAGTTTTTAGTGCTGGACTCCACAACACCCGTATTAGTATAGCTTCTTGAGTGATTTTCCATTATTACGTCCACTCATCCACTCACTTTTAACTGCCCAGCTTTTAACGTTCAAGGTGCCCATCTACAGCAGCCTCCACCCATGTTAGCCTCACAGTCACAGCCAGGCTCAAAAATCACATCTCCAGATGCTTTTACCATGTCTCTGTGCACTCTGACCTACAGAAACTTGCAGGCATTTATTTGTGGACCTGTTTTGTTGGACAAGGTACAGTTCTAGAAGAACAAACCTTTCCCCAACAAAACCAACCTGTCAGTGGAATTTTGGTGATGTTGTTATTATATTTTCTGTCCAAATGACCAAAAATGTATTTTCAATTCAAAATCCTTTCAATGGGAAATTTATGACCATGGGTAATAATAGTTCTGTTATGGATGAATGGAAAATGAATGTTTTGTTTTTATGCAGTAACTGAGGGAGATCTGCATTTTGTTGCCTTCTGTTTAATCTAGCTTTTACTTCTTGGGACACACAGCTACAGTGAAAAACAAATGTTTGGCCATCAGAGTCCCTTGGCCTTATGGTTAAGAAGAAGTGTTTTAGTGCTTGCAAGATGATCATCAATTTTATCTCCTGTAATTCCTCTCTCCTCATCTATAAAGCATGTTTCGATAATTTGCTTTTGACTGAATAGCTTAATTTTGCCTGTAGATCTGTTCTCCTGGGAGTACAAGAAAACATCTTCTGTAAATCTTTGCTATGATGAGAGACAATTGCAAATTTTTTTCATTAATATTATTAGTTACTTTTGTAATAGTGTAAGCCATGAATGAGGTACTGATCAACCATACAGAGATCTGAAAGCAAAAAAGAGATAAAAAGAATGGAGGAGTCAGCGTTATGTTTCTCTATAACAGGGAAATGAAGGCACAAAAGTCCCAGGTCCTGCACTGTCTGTGATACAGTTGGAAATCTGGAATAAAACATATTATCTTTGCAAAGCTGGTGGTTAAAAGACAGCATGTTCTTTTTCTCTTCAGTGTGACCAGATGTTTAATTTTCACTTTTGTGCCATCCCTTTTTTTACCCTTCAAAATGCTTGCCATTCTTCAGGTTGTCACAGAGATACAATGATGTTAAAATACCAGAACAAGCAGCGTTTGCTCTCCCTCTCTCTGATTGCACTGTTTTCAGGGAAAATGTAGTCATTGCAGTAGTGTAATATTATTTTTTAGTTGAAGTATCACTGTCCCCGGAGTCACACTTTCAAGCCTGAAGCTGTTTGCTACTGTGGGTGCTCTGTCAGCACCTTTATGCTAATAACAAGTTAACCACGCTGAGATCCCCAACCCACAAATTCAGGATGAGACTGATCCTGCCAGCCGTGAGCCCAGCAGATGTCTCTGAGGTGGCTTCAGTGGGGCTTGGGACCAAAATCACTGGAGCACAATGCAGAATTAAGGGCTGCTGTACTAGTCAGCAACAATTATTACTGCAGTAAAACTAGACAAATCTTCAAACAACACTAAACTCTGACTTTCTCAGCAGCAACCAGAATGTCTGATTTCTGTAACTGTCTGTAGATGGCACTATGGCAGTAGGAGTCTCACAAGGAGAAATGTGACGGGAACAGGCCAGGCGTGGGGAGGCTGCTGGCTCCTGCCCTCTGCTATGGTTTTCCTGGGCTGGGAGGGAAAGAAATTACACTATTTTTTGCGTGCTACACAGTCAACCAAAACAAGTCAACTTTTTTTTTTTCTTTTCTTTTTTTCTTTTTTTTTCTTTTTTTTTTTTTTTTTTTTTTTTCTCTGGTGTTAAAACTAGCTTTGTGATCTGGAGGAGATTCGTTTCTTAGAGCATCTCTAGGTGCGGGTGGTGCCCTGCTTCAGAGGTGGCAGTAGGGCACAGACAGATCTATTTCAGCTCCATCATTCTTTACAAAATTTTCAGAGATTTTTCCCCACAGGCAAGGATGCTTTTTTGTATACCTCCCACCTCACACCAGGTTTCCAGGTGTTGTTCTTCTGCTAGTATCAAGTGCTTTTCTGTGGCTTTCCCACTTAAACCATCAGGAGTGTGGAGTCATCGCTGAAGCTTGAACTCCCTCACATTAAAAATTGGCTTTGTTACGGTCCCTGGTGGAAAAAAAATATTCTTCTTCAAGACAAAAAGACTGGTGGCAAATCATGCTAACGACGTATTTAAAACCTAAGAGAGACAATACTTAAAAAGCTAACAATAAGAGGATGACAGAGCAAGAGGGAGTGTACAAACAGGAGGGTGATGTTGCATTTTCAGTTTATGTATTGTTTTATGAAATTGCAGCATTGTTATGGCATCTATCAGAAAATCACTTGTGCTCTTGCCAGAGCAATGTTAATGTTCTACAAGTTCAAGCTAGCTTCAATGTCCTGCTTTTCAAATGCTGTTTGATTTTCAGTAGTTAGGCTCAAGGGATATTTTCTCCCAAAACAATGAATTATTTCACTTGTTTCCTATTTTTTTTAATTATTATTATTTTAGAGGAGTCTTAATTTATGGCTGTTAACATCAGTGCTGGATGAAGCAATAAGCTGAAGCACATGCCCATCTTTGGTCAGAAGAGTCTCCTAGGACTGGTGAAGCAAGGAGCAGGAACATTTCGTTATAGGGACCAATAATGGAAGATAGAAACCCAGTGAGCCTTCCAGGACTTTTCTTTCCACAAAGTTCTTGATTTTAGGTTCAAGAAGGTATTTTCCTTCCGTAGTGAAGCATGCAATCTTGCAGCTTCCCTTTTCAGATGCATTACTTGAATGCCTGGAGGAGAAGGCAATTCTCCATCCCTCATCTCAGTGGTGTTGCACCTGCGATGGTTGCCCCATCCGAGGGGCGATGCTTCTGCTGCAGTGAGTGGGGAGAGCTGGGGAACAGTGCCTGCCTTTCAGCAAAACGTGAGGAGACACGAACCGTGTGTCGTGCAGAAATTAATTGTGCCTTCCTGCTGATGGTCCTTCTGCCTGCACACCAGTGAGCATGCAGCAGGTTCAGGCCACAAGATATTATAATAATGATAATAATAATTGTTGTTGTTATTAAATAAGTGCAATGCTATAAGGCAACCTGTTTTTCACTTCCACTGAGCAGTTCCTACCTAGGATATAAGCAGAATGGTTTGGTGATCAATACATTAGGGGGCCTTTCCATTAAGTGATAAGTGAAACCAAAGGAGGAAATTATGCTTTGTACTAAAAATCCATTTAGCTATTAGATCACAGTATCACAAGCATAAAAGGAGGGTTATTTTAGCTTTCAGCTGGCCAGAAAATGCCAGTTGGAAAACAACAGGAGGCTCCCTTTCACAATGTAAGAGCCCTTTCTTCCCTGGATGAAGGGAGCGTTTCTGACTGTGGCCTCCTGCTGTTGTATGTGTTTCATTTTTCTCTCTGGACTAAAACACTCCTGTAAAAAAGGTGGAAACCAAATCTAATTGCATAGAGATAAATGAAGACTTTCACTGTATAGGTGCAGCATTTATATGGAATAAATTTGGAGTGCTTATTTTGTTGCTTTTGCTGTAACTTAAAGCAATTTCATTTCAACAGCTATGCCCCATCCTTACACAGAGCATGCTTTTATAGGGAAATTAATATCACACCAATCCCTGATAGCCAAAAAGACAAATAATATGCCACAGATTATGATGCAGATCACATCTGAGTCTGACCTCCAGTCCTAGTGCTAGACCCGAGCAGGTGGGGATGCGGACACTGACAGACACTGTCTGAGAGCTGCAGCAGGTCCCTCTATTACAGTGCAAGTGAAAAACAGGAGATGTACAGGCTAAAGGCTCTCTGTGGGGCAGCACGCTGGAGATTCAAGCTCACCAGGGCTGGTCATCCATGTGCTTTGCTGTCCCCATCGGCTTCATCCCTACCAAAGACCCACGCTGCCTGGCAGCCCCTGGGGCTGCCCCTCTCCTGCACACACCCTTGGCCACTGGCACCCAAAGCTGCCCAATTCCCTCGTGCTGGAATTAGGCTTGAGGAACACTGTGGTTTTGTACTGGAGAATCACTCATTTTCTCTGACTTTGCAAAGGACAGCTTGGGGTGGCTCTTTGCACAGTCTCTGGCTCTGGAGTTAGCATGAATTCCTTGCCCAGCCACTCTGATCTCTGAGGCCAGGGTGCACTTAAGTGAGAATATTTAGCCTACAGGACAGTAACTCCACGGTGCAATCCTTAATCTAAAAGCAGAGCGATTTAACTGCAGACTAATTAAGTATCTTTTGGAGCTGCAATACCTGACAACAGTGCAAGACTTCCAAGCAAACCCTTTTAGTGATGTTGAAACATTTCCCAGCACATTTTTGAAATTGCTCCTTCCTGAGGGCTGCTGGTTGCGTGAGGATTTCTTCACTTGCTCACCTCCTAACGGAGCACTGGATGCCTGGCTCGTGAGTCTGCCCCTAAAAACCTGAGGCTGCTCAGTGCCAGGAGGATTTCAACAGGTGTCGAGATGACTCACAGATCAGTCTTCTCTCAAGCTCCCTTAGTCATTACTATTTCCTAACACAAAGATATTAATTACACAGTAGGTATTCAGTACATAATGGCACCACCAGTTCATGGTTTAGACCACAACTTTATACTCAGCAGATTGTGCTGTCTGTTTTATTGTCCCCAGTGTCCCTGGGTTGGAGGAAGGGGCCACCTGTTGCTGCCTAGGGAGCTGCTCTACAAGGTAGGAGGGAAGTGGCAGATCCCATGCACCTACCCTCATGTGCCTGAGATGCCTCCAGCCCCCTGACCTCAGGAGAGGAGGGATGATCTTCAAGGAGAGACCTTTAATTCAGAGGGCTGTTTGCAAGAGGGAGCTTCCAGTCATCATTCTCAGGAAATTGACACAGAAAAGCTTGTGGTCCAGAAAACTGGTGATGTAGCCCCACAGGATTTATTATTATTATTATTATTATTATTATTATTATTATTATTATTATTATTATTATTATTATTATTATTATTATTATTTTGGCTTGTGTGTTTGCTTTTGACAAAATCCCTCCTTCCTCCTTGCATATATCAGTAAGAAAATAATCAAGTTTTACAGCAAGACTTTCCATCTTTTTTTTTTGGGGGGGGAGGTGAGAGAGGGGTCAGAATTTCAGGTGCAGATCCAGTGACACAGAGCATCTGTGGGACCTGCTGCAGCAACACTGTCTGAACAAGACAGGCATCCTCAGAGTGTTGTAAGATTTCCAGACCTCCAGGCCCAGCCTGACTGATTTTTACACTCTCTCAGGCTTCCCCAGCTGGCATCAGAAAGAAACATGTTTTCACAGGGCAGCAGACAAATAGCATGAAACAGGTTTGAGATGAGTCTGGTCATGCTTCCACTCCACCTGCCCTGAAGAGGCCTAAACTACATTGGCTTTGCAAAACACCCAGCTTTTTAAAGGCATCTTTTACTAATGAGTTCATTCACCCCACTAGAAACTGCTCTGCTGAGCTGGGCACTACCTTTTATCTGTGCTCAGAGCCCACCAGCAAAGCACACAATCACTCCCAAAGCAAACACATTCCAGCCAGGCTACCAGCAGATGAAACAGCAGACCCTGATGGCATGGATGAGGTTATTGCTTGAGAAAGGACCTCAGGATCGGACCCCTAAGGAGTGAAAGCTGAGCAGACGACAGGGCTGACGGGATGCTGTGTGTACTCTGCAATTCCACTGTGTCCACTACCTGCTACACGGCCAGCTTACATCTTGCTCTTGCTTTTTTATGAAATGATCCATATGTTGCCAGCTCAGAAATATATTTATTAGTATTTTTTTAAGTTTAAAAGCAGTTATGTCATAGCCGAAACAGCTGTTCAGGAACCACCCAGGCAAGAGGCCTCTGTGCTGCGTCTTCAGTGCTGAGCTGTCTCGGTGGGGTTTGTGTGTGCATGTCCCAGCAGAGAGGAGATGCAGGGGGAAGCATGGCCAGCCAAAATGCTGCTTCAGGGAATGTCTGTGGAT